GTTGTGGGACTGGGCCCTCCCACTGCTGATTCTGTGTAAGGAAAGACAACATACCAGGATGCCCACAAAAAAAAAGATGCCAGGCAGCCTCTCTGCTTCAGTGGAGGACTTTGAGTGCTTCACCAAAAAATGGAAAACAAAACAAAGCAAAAACAAACTAGGTTAAACAATGCTGCAGACAGAAATCTAAATCAAGCATCCAAGGCTACGGACACACCGAAACATAGGGGCAAGTATGGGAAGTGGTGTATGACACATGGCACAAGGAAGCCCACACTGTCGCAAAGAATTGAGACAGCTCAAGTAACCCCTTCAGGACATTCTTCCCATCAAGGTCCCTGGGACAAAATCAAGGGATCAAATCCTGGCGGTGGAGTGATCCGGGAGCAAGGAGTGGTGCAACGTTCCTCCCCACTCCCCGCCTGGTGACTTCATGTGGCTCACAGGCATGGGCCCCTGCACCCACATGGGAGAGCTGGAAGAAGTTCCTGGCTCCTGGCTTTGTCCTGGACCAGCTTTCAGCAGTGTAGCCATCTGTGGAGTGAACCAGTGGGCGGAAGACGACTCTCTCTCTTTAACTTGCCTTTCAAATAAGTAAATACATCTTTTATTTAAAAAGTGACATTTTGACCAAATCTAATAGTTTAAAACCCACGTTTCATTTGTGATAGCCTCACCCCAGAAACACAAACAGTATATATAATATATATTTTAAATTTAATTCATTGACAGTATTGAACAATGCTATAAAAGATCATGGAAATGAAGTCAAAAGATAGATACAACTCTTTTGAAAAATATTTAATGTTTACTGGAAAATCAGATTTACAGAGAAGGGAGAGAAAGATCTTCCATCCGCTGGTTAATTCCCCAAGTAGCTGCAATGGCCAGAGCTGAGCCGATCTGAAGCCATGAGCCAGAGCTTCTTCCAGGTCTCCCACATGGGTGAGCGTCCCAAGGCTTTGGGCTGTCCTCAACTGCTTTCCCAGGCCACAAGCAGGGAGCTGGATGGGAAGCGAACTAGTGGGAAACAAACCCTTTCCCGGGGTTAAGCTGGTAGGGAGAATGGAGGGCCCCCTGCTGGAACACCTTGCCCACTGGAGAGAATGAGTTGCGATGGGGGCAGACCATACCAGGCAGAGTTACAAACTGTGGGCCTCATGTGAACTAGATCAGGGAAAAGCCAGGCTTGGTTGACTGTCCTTACTGGTGCAAACATAAAGCAGAATGGGTGAGGGTTGGCTGGGCTTTGCCACAGCATCAGATAGCAGATGCTGGCACCGGTGGCTAATCTGTCAACTTAAACTACATAATCACCTGGAAAGTGCATGATTCAGGAGTGGGAGTGGCCTAGGAGGGAAAGTGGGCACCTCCCTCTTAGGTTACCACTCCCACTGGAAAGTATGAAAACCAGGATGGGGCAGGGGTAGCTAGACAGATGGTACCCATCAGCATGTGTGTGGGCTGGATAGTGGAGCTGGTTGGGTTGCACTAGTTTCAATGCCCACTGACATGTAGGAGAGCTGAATGGGATGTGGGACTGGACAAACCTGCGGAACATTCTGGCAAGCACAGGAACCAGGGCAGGGGGCGGGCCTGGTGGGAGTTATTGTGGGTCTCCCCAACTAGGCTGCAGCCCCCACTGGTTTATGTGAGGGCTGAGTGTGTGCTGGGCAGAATCAGGCTGGACTGTAATACCCATTGGTTCCAGTAGAAGACAGGGCTGGAAATAGAACTGACCCAGCAATTGCAACCACCAGCATGTGCATAAGCTGATTGGGGTGACAGACTGTGCTGGATGCTGTACTGACACTCACACACAAGAATCAGGTCTGGCATCACCTCAGATGAAGTTTCTTTGGGGATCTCCCCAATCAAAATCAGAACCCCAACCATGAAGAGAAGTGCAGGTTCCATAGTCTGTTGTGGAGTGCAAATGCGAGAGCTGAGCCTCCTTAGAAGCTCAGACAGAGAGGTGGACAGCACAATTAGTGAAAACCTGGGCAGACGGAGACTCTAAGGTGGACTACGTCAATCAGTGGATTCTGCAATGACCTCATCGTGCTTGGAGCAGCAAGACTGGCAGCAATTCATAACTGTTGAACTATCAGAACCACTTGAGCAAGACCCTCGGAGCATGCCCCACATCAGGCACCTGGGGTGGGTGGGAGGCTGGGTGGGGCTTTTCCCTTTATTTCTCCCTTTAGTCCAGATACAGAAAAAGAAAAGAACGTGGAAATAACAGTCTTTTCCACTTTCCTGTAGCCCTTGAACCTTTGTGCCCTAATGTAAAGATTGTCAAAAATAAAGGAAAAAAAAAAAAAAACCCTTTACCCATATGGGATCCCGGCGCTTGGAGGCAGAAGAAGAGCTAATCAAGCCATTGAATCAGCTCCATTCCTCTTTTTTCTTTTTTAAAGACTTTTTTTTTTAAGATTTATTTATTTTTATTGCAAAGTCAGACATACAGAGAACAGGAGAGACAGAGAGGAAGATTTTCCCTCTGATGGTTCACTCCCCAAGCGGCTGCAATGGCTGGAGCTGAGCCGATCCGAAGCCAGGAGCCTCCTCTGGGCCTCCCACACATGGATGCATGGTGCCAAGGCTTTGGGCCGTCCTCAACTGCTTTTCCCAGGCCACAAGCAGGGAGCTGGATGGGAAGCAGGGCTGCGGGATTAGAACTGACGCCCATATGGGATCCTGGTGTGTTTAAGGTGAGGACTTTAGCACCTAGGCTACTGTGCCAGGTCCTATGATATACAGTCTTGATATAATGTTATAAAAATGACACTTTCCCTCTGTGGTGTCATTGCACTGCAACCTCAGTCTAATTATGAGAGGAAAAAACAGACAAAATCACAACAGAGGAAAATCCTAAAGATATTCAACCTGACCAGGTTTCCTCAACTTCCTCAAGGTCATTAAAAACCAGTGAAGGTTTGCAAGCTGTTACAGCCCAAAGGAGTGCATGTGAATGTTAATTATAGCATCATGCCCCAGACAGGATGTGAGGTAAAAACTAAGGAGTCAGGGCCCGAAGCGGTAGCCTAGCTGCTAAAGTCCTCGTCTTGAACGCACCGGGATCCCATATGGGTGCTGGGTCTAATCCTGGCAGCTCCACTTCCCATCTAGCTCCCTGCCTGAGGCCTGGGAAAGCAGTCAAGGACGGCCCAAAGCTTTGGGACCCTGCATGGGAGACCTGGAGGAAGTTCCTGGCTCCTGGCTTCCAATAAGTGCAGCACCGGCGGTTGTGGTCACTTGGGGAGTGAATCATTCAGAAGATCTTCCCCTCTGTACATCTGACTCTCCAATAGAAATAAAATAAATCTCAAAAAAAATAAAAAGGGCCCAGTAGTGTGGCCTAGCAGCTAAAGTCCTTGCCTTGAACACACCAGGATCCTATATAGGCGCCGGTTCTAATCCCGGCAGCTCCACTTCCCTTCCAGCTCCCTGCCTGTGGCCTGGGAAAGCAGTCAAGGACAGCCCAATGCTTTGGGACCCTGCACCCATGTGGGAGACCCAGAAGAGGCTCCTGGCTTCAGATCGGCATAGCACCGGCTGTTGCAGCTCACTTGGGGAGTGAATCATCGAATGGAAGATCTTCCTCTCTGTCTCTCCTCCTCTCTGTATATCTGACTTTCCATTAAACAAATAAATCTTTTTTTTAAAAAAAAAAGTCCACCTAAGTAGGGACTGCAGTCATCAGCATGCATTTTTCACTAACTGTAGTAACGTCACAATGCAAGGGGTCAGTAGTTACGGAAGCTGTGTGGAGGGTATGTGGAAACACTGCAGCCTGCTCAATTTTTCAGTCTATCTAAAATTGTCCTAAAAAGAGTCTATAGGTAGCAAATAAATAAGGACAGTAATGGATTATAACTTCTCGAACAAAAAGGAATCTCTTATCGATACGAAGTAAGTAAATAAATGAGCCTCCTGTTTCTAGCAGCATCTGAATTGACAAGTGTGGAGGGCTGGAAGCAGTGTGTATGCAGTGCTGGGGAAATGAACAATTTATAACTCTGTGGCAGAGATGGGGTGCAGAAACATGACCAGCGGGATCTCAACCGTGGTGTAAAATTGGATCAGGAGCAGGATGTTTAGTCTCCAAGTCTCACCTCACAAATGTGCAACTAGTCGCAAGGATGAAAACATACAGTGGGGAAAGTGGACAACACTCTGACGAGAGATAAAAATGAGTAACACTTTTAAGAGACATTCTGTGACTTGGAATATGGCATCCTGGGAAGGTCAAAATGACCTGAATCAAATCAGGAGGAAACAAAAATTCTAGTGGGCATTTGTATTGCAAGAAAATTCTTTTAGGGGAAGAGTTAGCTTTGGTATGCCCTCTTGGTCATATGTCTATTACATATGTGAATATGACCAACCCAGACTGTGATTTCAACTGCGGTTCTTTTAAAACCAAAAACGTTCTGCCACGTCGTTGGTGGAGCGGAAGAAATAATTCTTTAAATATGACAATTTAGCAATTTCCCTAGTAGCGAGCTGAGGCAACGGGGAAGCCTGCGAGCGATCGGGGCGAGCAGGGCACAGGTGCCCTCAGGACTGGCCAGCTGCGCAGTGAGTATTTTAAATTTAACAAACACACTCCACCGCGTCTACCAGGCACTGGGGGCCCCTACCGATTTTCACCTTCTTGGAAAAAACCCATAAACAGTCTTACTTCCAAAAACAGGATAGAAGCCTGACACTGAGCGGTTTTTCTCAGTATTTTTGTTATCGGGATCCTGCACCGCCAAGATTTAACTTTAACAAGGAGCCTCTTTCCGTCCGCTCGTCGTCCGTTCAACGCCCGCAACAACGGATGTTAAACCCCCTTTGAAAAGTCGGCTGTTTCTTTGTTTTTCCTAGAAAGCCCGAAAAAGTATGCAACTGCGAGGTTGGGGTGCCAGACATTTCCGCTCCTTCAATAGCGAACGTCAAAGAGGTCGCGCCGTTTTTGTTTTTTTCCCAGCCAAAGTTGGTGTTTATAAACTTCTCCGACTCCAGACATAGGTACTCGTCGGTACTAGCTCCGGTTACCTTTTTTTTTTTAACTCCCGAACGAGGGCTGGCGACGGACTCCGGCAGACTTTCCCCGCGCCCGTGAGGAACGCGGCGCCCACGGCCAGGCCGACCGCACTTCCCACAATGCCCGGCGCGAGCCCAGAGTTCCGGCCCGGGGAACCGTGAGGCGGCCGCCATCTTGTGTACGGAGGTGCGGCTCGCCGTCCCCGTCCTCACGGGTGGGGTTTCCGTCCCTCCGGATTTGGGGCGGTCGCTAGACGCGCTTCTTTCGCCTTCCCGGGGGTTCGCGTCTTTCCCGAGACGGCCTATGCAGAGCTGTGAAGGAAGGTGAGTGGGCTGCCATGTTAGGGGAGCTGGCGGTGCGGTGGCGTTTTTCGGTTGCTTCCTTCTTTGGGGTTCTTTCCGGCTTGGCCGGAGGGCTGAGAGGACCGGAGTCGTGAGGGCCAGGGCAGGACAGGAGCGTGCGTGTCCTCGGGGGACGTTCTGGGGGGACGCGCTGCGGTCCTAGCCGGGCTTGTGGAGGGCCGCCCCGCGAGCTCCTGCTCGGAACTGTCGGTGACATTTGGAACGGGCAGGTGACGGGGGAGAGTGCGAGGAGTGGCCGCCAGTGTCGCAGCGCCCCGGTGCAGCCCGCCTCCGTCCTTCTCCGCTCCGTCCGTCCGTCCTTCCTGTTTTCGCTCGCGTTCGGGAGGAAGGCCAGAGAGAGCGCCGACCGAACCAAACTTGCGTTTTGACTTTGTGTTCCTGACTCTCTCCAAGACAGTTCCAGAAAAGCAAAGTTGTATTTTCTTGTATTTTCTACCAAGGAACAAACATTTGGAAAAGGTAGAAATTTTGATTTGAAGACTGTGGCCAGGGTTTTTTCCTTAAAAAAAAAAAAAGTAAAATTAAGCGTGATTCTTAAAATTATATATATAATAAAGCGTGATGGGTTAGTGTCTTCCTCAGTGCAACTCAGCTCACTTTTTTTCCTTTTAAGTGATTGCTCTACATTGGTTTGGTAATCAGTCACCTTACACTAAACTCAGGGGAGAAGGGTCCGCGAAGAGTGACATTCCAGTCCCTGTAATATTTAAATGACTGATGACATATACTCCTAACAGTTTGGAACATAAAGATCTTTATGATGCACTGTTTACATATAAATGTCAGACTGGGGACAGCTTTTTTTCTGAATACACAGTTGTGTATCTTTGTCAAAGAGTGTGTTACTGATTCAACTCTGCAAATTTACCTAAATACCTAAATTTAGAGATGGATTGTTTAAAGATGATACATATATATATACATAGATGATATATGTATATTATATATAGGTGATATATGTATTATATATAATGATGATATATATAAAGATGATATATATATATATAAGATTTATTTTAATTTTTGCGGAAACATTTGTTTTTGTTGGAAAAGCAGATTTACAGAGAGGGGATAGAGAAAGATTTTCCATCCTCTAGTTAACTCCCCTAGTCGTTGTGACTGGGGCTGAGCTGATCCGAAGCCAGGATCCAGGAGCTTCTTTCTGGTCTCCCATGCTGGTGCAAGACTTTGGGCCATTCCTTGCTGCTCTCCCAGGCTGTAAACAAGGAGCTGGATGGGAAGTGGAGCATCTGGGACACAAAACAGCACCCATATGGGATCCCGACACTCACAAGGCAAGGATTTAGCCATTGAGCCGTCATGCGTGGCCCTTGCTTTATTTTATTTATTTAAAGATTTATTTATTTTTATTGCAAAGTCAGATATAGAGAGAGGAGGAGAGACAGAGAGGAAGATCTTCCGTCCCCAAGTGAGCACAACGGCCGGTACTATGCCGATCCGAAGCCAGGAACCAGGAACCTCTTCCGGGTCTCCCACGTGGGTGCAGGGTCCCAAAGCATTGGGCAGTCCTTGACTGCTTTCCCAGGCCACGAGCAGGGAGCTGGATGGGAAGTGGAGCTGCGGGGATTAGAACCGGCGCCCATATGGGATCCTGGTGTGTTCAAGGTGAGGACTTTAGCTGCTAGGCCACACTGCTGGGCCCTAGTGAGAACATTTCTATAAATTATGCTGTGAAAATGCTTAAATATTGAGTTGTAGCAAAGTTAAAATTTGACTATAGCTTGTTGTGAAGATGTGACTGTAAGTGCTTGTATCACAAACTTAAGTGTCTCTTTGTTCATGAAGAAGCTTATTTAATTTTTTGTTTTAAAGGCTTATTTATTTGAAATGCAGGGTGATAAATAGGCAGAGCCAAATCTTCCATCTGCTGGCTTACTCCGCACATGGCTGCCACAGTGGGGCTGGGATTGCATCCGTCTGCATTGTGAAGGACAGGGACCCTAGTACTTAATATAGCTTGGGCTGCTTTTCCTGGTGTGTTAACAGAGCTCTGTGCTCACTTGCCATCACAGGTGGCGGCTTACCCCAGTGCACCAAGCCTTTTATAGAGCTTTTAAAAATATTAGCCAGAATTGGGCATTTGGTGTAGTAGTTGGAGTACTTCCAAACGAGTGCTTACAGGTGCTAGCTTTCTTCCTCCAAATGGCGCTCGGGCAGCATGTGGTTTTGGGCCCCTGCCACCTATATGGGTGATGGGATAGAATTCCAAGCTCCTGATTTTGACCTGGCCTTTCACTACTGGATGGGAGATTTATCTTTCTGGCTTAAGAAAATACATTTTCAAATAGATTAGCTAATAATTGTGTGTTTATTTACCTCTCAGATGTCTTACGGAGGAATCGAAGCTAAATATTTGGGACCTGGAGAACTGGGAAGTGGACCATATCATAAAAGATTGAAATCAACTGCAGAGACATATGTTTTACCGCATCCTGGTAGTACTGATTTGCACAGAGTCCAAGAGAAAACTGGAAGTGATTGGGTCCCTTTGACCATCGTGGATGTCAAAGGGCAGAGGTATCCTCAAGTGGACAAAACCGAAACTACAGATTTGCCGAAACCTTTTCGGAATGAAATGCCTGGCAGTAAACCAGATGGTGTTGGTACTTCACAAGTTTTACGCGATGTAAATCCTCCATTGCTAACCAAGGATGATGAGATTTATAGTACAAGTACAGCGTTTATAGGCCCTATTTACAAACCCTCTGAGAAAAAGAAATGCAATGAAAAGGCAGACAGTCTGAATGGTATAAAGGGCAAAAGAAGGCGAGAAGAGAAACAGAAGTTTAACTCTAGAAAACCAGAGATTGACAGTGAATTGTCCCAGTTTTACAAAGAAATTGAAGAGCTTGAAAATGAAAAAGATGACTCAGAAGGCAGTTGTAAGGAGCCTGAACCTTCTCCGGAAGAACTTACTCCATCTCCATGTTACCAGGATCATGCGAAGGATCCTTTAAAATCTGATGGAGAAAAGGAAGATTTTAAAGCTGTTCAGTCACATTGTGATTATCAGCAGTGCTTGGGGGATGAGTCTGCCAACCGTCAATGTAATGGACAAGAAATATCTACATTTCGTGATACTTCCTTCCCTTCATTCAGGCCTGAATGGCAGTCACCACCTCCTTTTATCGTACCCTATGGTCCTCCCCTTCCCAATTTTAACTGTCAGTTAAATAATCAACAATTCGGTGCTCTGCCAAATCCACTACCAAATATTTTCCACGCCCAAGATGAATCTAGGATGCAAAATGGACATTATGTTAATACTTGTCATGTTAGGTGGGATTCTTCAGCTTCTAATGAGAGCAGTGGACACGTTGACTTAGGAGAGAGTAATGTTAGTACTCGTCCCCCTAGAGATGGCTACAGTACACAAGATGGGTATGTGAATGGTTTCTGTGAAATCAGGGAAGGATGCTGGAAAGATCCTTCAGTGGACAAGCATAATGGAATAGACAGATTTGCAAGCCAGCAATATCAAGAGGCAAAGTTAAATAAATTGCAGAAGTTACTTATTCTTCTAAGAGGTCTGCCTGGTTCTGGGAAAACAACATTGTCTCGGTGAGTCAAGTTTACCAAGTGAATACTTGGTAGCTCATTATCTAAAAATCATGATGCAATCACTAAAAATGCTCTCATGTTTCTGTTGGAAAGTAATACTTATTAATGGCATCTGACACTACAGATGTTTAAGGAATTTTCTGATAAGGGAAGGGAGAATTGCCCTTCATGTTTAGATTTTGGTAAGGGCTTTAACGATAAATACACTGTGTATAGTAATGACACTAATGAAATCAAATGGTACTTGAGAACTTTGCTGGTCTTACATTTTAGACTCAGCTAGTCATGAGAAGTTGGATATAATGCTAGAGTATTCGGGCCTTGACTGAATCATTTCTTTGTGACCCTTGGTAAATTTTATTCTGTATTAGTGTAACAAATGGCCTCTATTTTCTTTGCATTATTTTGAGAATCAAGAGAGATAAGGAAAGGAATTTTGAAGGTATTGAACACCATGCCATGTTCGTAATCATCGATTGACAGAGCAGACCCTTTTTTGATTTTTTTTTTTTTTAATTTAAGGGTGTTGAAGTGAGCAGTACCTGGATTAATGGAGTTAGAAACAGTGATGCTTTATTGTATTACAAAATATTTTAGATTGCTGGTTTTGTTTTCATGTTGAAGCATCATGTTGGACTTGAGTACATTGGCAGTCGTGAAAAAGGAGCAGAAGACATTTGATTTTTGTTCACATTTTGTGTGGGGGTGATGCAAATTTTTTGGTAAATAAGAAAAATTTAATATATTTGGGTGATGATTAAAAAGTGGAAGGATCTGTTTTAATATTTACTTGCAAGACAGTGTGAGCAAGCATAAGAGATTAGGGAAGGATGCCATTTATGATCTAGAAATTTCAAGCTAGATTATAAGCTGATCTTTGTGATTAAGCTGAAAGTTTGGTCTTTGCTTTTTGATTCCTTTTCAGTGAAGGTTTTTTTTTTTTTTAGATTTAACTCAGGATAAAAATTAAATGTGAGGATTCACGATCATGTACATTCTTAACATAATTCATAAAAAAATTAGTTGAAATTTTGGTGTTAAGTGGGCTGCTAATTAGGGTTACTTGGCTAAGTGGATATAGAAGAAACAAAGGAAGGTTAGTTTTAGGAGAGTTTATTGACGTCTGTTAAAATGGGAGGTGAATAAAGTAGAGGTAATTCAGTAGAATTTCAAGGAGAGATAATTGTAGTGGGAGATGATAGAGATAATTTATATAATAGGTGTTTATTTGAATTGTCAGGTGCTATAAGAATGGTGGCTACAGTGCCTGCAGGTATCATTTATGTCATTATTTTAGGATTTACAGAGTACTTTCACATATAAAAATCTTGTGAGATGGGTTGTATTTTTAAATTTATCTCATTTGAGAGTTAGGAAGGTGGACAGGTGGGTGCTCCCATGCACTGGTTCATTTCCCACAAGTCCTGAGTGGCTAAGAGGCTGAAGCTGGGAGCCTCGAACACACGCAGATGCTTTATGTGGGTGGCGGGGGCCTGTGACTGGAGCCTCCGCCTCAGGCCTTCCGGGGTTTGTAGGAATCAGAAATTGTGAGCAGAACTGAGACTTGAGCCCAGGCACTCTGTGGGGTGTTTCCATTCCAAGTAGTGTTTTAGTTGCTAGGCTGTACGTCTCCCTGGATTGTGTTTTTATTTTGTAGGAACAAAGGCTAAAGGAGGAATTTCCTTACATGGGGAGAGAGAAAATCTTCCATCTGCTGGGCACTCTGCAGATGGCCACAGGATCTTTATCCTAGTCTCCCACTGGGGTGGCAGGGCCCAGACACTTTGGCCATCCTCTGCTGTTTGTAGGCCTCTAGCAGGGAGCTAGATTGGAAGTGGAGCAGTCAGGACTAGAACCAGCACCCTTAAGGCATACCTGCATTGGCAGGCAGTGGCTTTACCTGCTATACCCTGGTGCTGGTCTCAAGTTCTTAGCAGAAAGTAAACAGGTCTGGTGAGAGATCAACCTAGGGATAAAATGATAACTTTTGTCTTTGTTGAAGTATCTACTAGATATGTAGCTCTATACCTGGCTGTATCAGTTCATTTTTCAATATTATGGCAGAATACTTGTGGCTGGATACATAAAAATAAAAGGGTTTTATTTATTTTTAAATTAAATTTTTTAAAAATATGTTTTGTTTTTTTAGTGTTGCTTACATAGTTGGAAAGGTTGTATGTCTATGTGGGCCACTAATTGGGGTCGGGGGTTGATGTATGGAGGGGGAAGGTGGAACAGGTATTCATTTGTTTTTAAATATATTTTATATATTTTAATTTATTTTAATATATTTTAAGTGGCGGTTGGGGCTGGGCAGCCACTCCTTGCTGTCAAACTACATTAGCACCTGGGGATGGGAGTGCCTTTATGACGCCTTAGAGACCCCGTATGTGGGAAAGAGTGTTCCAAGGGTGTTACTTGAGTGGTTTTGATAGTTCTGAGACATTGCTGGTTTCATCACGCAGGGTTGAGAAAAATCTTTCTAAGGTCTGCTGGTTGACAAAGTCCACTTTAGTGCATTCACACACTCAGGTGTTTGCTGCAAAACTTGGCCAGGAGAATTGTCCAACCTGTTCTGCTTTCCATTCTTTAACTGACACTTGACATCCTCTGCTGGCCTAGATGAGCGGGCTGTTGTGTCCCTCATGTGATTTTGGCATGCTCTCTGCATCTTGGGCATCAGCACTGAGGAGGCCCAGTCCCGATAGCTGGTACTTCAAAATCATATATCCTGTGATTTTCCTGATTACTGGAATTTGAGTCCAGTGACCTAGCTGGAGAGTCCCTCCAAGAAACCTAGCTGGGTGACCCCAGACCTGACTCCTGCGTGTGCCAGCTAGTGGGGGGATCCAGTTCAGTCCTTCACTACATCAGCCTGTGCACATTCTGCTGAATGCAGTATCCTAGTCATTTGTGCCCCAGTCCTACCTCCCATGCAAACTGCTGGGTGCTGTGGCATAGCCCAAGCCATCATGCCACAAACCCAGGCGTCATGCACGCCAACAGGTCATCTAGTCAGGGTGACCCCCCATAACCTCCACTAGCCCACTTCCAGCCCCAATTCCTGTGTGTGCTGATATGTGCAGCCATGTAATTTGGCCTGCCCTGCATCCCATCTGGCTCTTGCACACACCCATAGCTGCTGCTGCTTAGCTTAGCCTGACCCACCCACGCGTATACTCACAGGTGCTGTCACCTTGTCTGGCCTGTCCCCAGCCCTGGCTCCTATGCTCACCAAGATAAGCTGCTACTAGGCTCACTGCTAGCCCCAAATCTTGCCAGGGGGTGCTATGGTCCAGCCTGACATGATTTGCACCCAGGCCTGCCTGCCTGCCTGCCAGTGGATGTTGTGGCTCTTGCATGTGCCAGCAGATATAGTCTAGTCTGGCCTGGCCTTCTAAACTCAGCTCGCATGTGTGCTGATTGGTGTTGCAGCCCTGCACAGTCTAGTCTGACTTCAGATCCGACTCACCAGTGGGAGCAGTAACCTACTGGAGGAATCCCTGAAGCTCCCCTGGCAGGCTTGCCCCCAGCACTGGGTCTTGTGTGTGCCAGTGGGTGTTGCAGCCAAGTCTGGCACCACTCGCCTTATCTTGGTGTTGGCCAGTAGGCACTGCCATTTCGCTCTGCCTGGTCTGCACCCAGTCCCAGCTTAATGCTGATGGGTGCTGCAGCCTAGCCCAGCCTGGTCAACCCCCAGACCTGACCCTCTTGTGAAGTGGCAGGTATTGTAGCCTCAGATGCCCACATGCTAATGAGTGGTGCCGCCCTGCCTGGCCTAACTCATTCGCCCAGGTTCTCATGTTCACCAGAGGGAGCTGTGACCTAGAAGAAGAGTACCCCCGGTACCTTCACCATACCTACTTCCAGACCTGGATCTCACGCATGCCTGTGGGTGCTAGGCTCCTGCCTGGCATAGTCCATCCCAACCCCAGCCTTTGCATGTGCTGGTAGGTGGTGTGGCCTGGCCCTCCTCCAGACCTAATTCTCTGATGTGCCTGTGGGTCCTGCAGCCTGAGCCAGCCCAGCCTGCTCCCAGTCCCAGTTCCCATGTCAGTGAGTTTTGTGGTCATGCCTAGCTCAGCCTGTCTCTACCCCTAGCTCTCATGCAAACCACTGGATATTGCAGACCCTCAGGAGTGAGTCCATGTGTGCCCTATACCAGTCTGCTTCCCAGACCTGGTTTCTTTCTCATGCTGGCCATGTGTGCCTGTCCTCTGTCACAACACTCACTGGTGAGTACTGTGGCCTAGCTCTGCCAGGCAGGTCCCCCCGCCTCAGCTTTTGTGTGTGCTGGTGGATGACAGGTGATGCCACCAAACCCGGCCTGGTTCTTCCACATGGGCGGGTGCATTGGTCTGATCCAGACATGCTGTATGGTTTCCCCTCTCTAAACTACCCAGTGTCTCCTTTGTTTTCCTGTGAGTACAGTGGCCTGGTCTGTAGAAGATTCCCAAAGTCATTCCACACCAGTAAAGTACTCCCTCAGCGATCCCCACCCCCCCACATCCTTAAACTCACTTCCCCACACAACCTGTAGCCCATGTCCACCAGCCCTCTCCCACATATCTTTTTTTTATATATATAGATTTATTTTTTATTTTTATTGGAAAGGTGGATATACAGAGAGGAAAGACAGAGAGGAAGATCTTCCATCTGATGATTTACTTCCTAGGCGGCTGCAACAGCTAGAGCTGAGTCAATCCGAAGCTGGGAACCTCTTCCGGGTCTCCCATGCGTGTGCAGGTTCCCAAGGCTTTGGACCATCCTCGACTGCTTTCCCAGGCCACAGGCAGGGAGCTGGATGGGAAGCGGGGCTGCCGGGATTAGAACCGGCACCCATATGGGATCCCGGGCATGCAAGGCGAGGATCTTAACCATTGCGCCATCGTGCCGGGCCCCCACATATCTTTTTAAAAAGGGGGGAAGGTGGGGAAGCAACTATGCTGGCATAATAGTTTTGCTAACACAAATTTGGCATTAACTAGGGCCAGAATACC